TTGATTTTGGAGAGAAAAACTCGACATTTATAGATTCTCCCCCATCAATGATTATAATTATGCAATTCATATAATATTAAATTTGACTGATACTCTAACTGATTTTAATCAAGTAACTAAAAACAGATTGCTTTATAACTAATTAATACCATAACAGTAAGTAGATTGTCAAGATCAAGATGATGAGATTTTTTTTTTATATATTTTTTACTTCTATTTTTATTTTTGCTTAAGATAATGTGATTAGGATGAATGATTTTGGTTGCAAATAAATGAAAGGAAAATTAATAGAAAAGACGGATGAATGTAGCCCATTAAGTACTTCATCATTAGATGATATTCATGTTTTATAAATCGGATTGCATATTAAAAAAATAATTTGAGCACAATTCATTAACAGTATCTGAATAATTTTAGTACCCAAATTATGCTTCTAATGTGCAATCTAACTTGTAAAACACTTTTTCATTGTGTGTTTTAAGTCAGCTGCGTAAATGAAAAACAATTTTCATCGTCAAGAACAAATGAGTGAAATAAAGAAAAGTAGTAACAAATAATGGATCTAGATAGATCTCATAATTCAGGCCCCAACCCCAAACTGATTGTTTTGTTGATGTTCCTAAGAGTGGGGACATAGCATGAAATATCAATAGCCAATAGAAGTGGCGGTGCTGAAAATTCAAATGCAACTTTGAAACTGCATTTCTCAACCCTTACGTAAAGAACAAAAAGTCTTAGCAGCATTCATAAAAAGATTGAAGTCAATGATTATGTTGAGTAATGAACACAAACCTTTAATTTGGGGACAAGAATAGGGATTTAAACTGCTGTAGTTACCATACAGAACTTCAAATATATCCAAGAAAAAAACAAAAGGATTGATCCAAGACAAACATAGTAAAAAAGGTGTACCTATAGAGTATAGACTTAATCAGCAGTGACATCATGAAGAAAAGAGACATACCACATAAATTTATTCTTAGGATTATGTTAATTTGTCACGAGAGTCGGTAGGAGCACAGCTGCCTTTAAATTCTCTTCCATGATAATGAAAGGAAAATTTATCAAAGAAGTTAGAGATCTTTATCTTGGGACATGCAACAAATATCATGTGAGAGCAATTACTGTTGAAACATCTTGTAAAAGAACAAGGGGAGAGGAATAACTTATAGCTATTCCCATCTTAAGTTGAATGTAAGGTCTGATTTTAATTGGAAACAAGCCAAGAAACAAAATCCCTTGCTAATGAAAACCTGGGCATTGCCGGGGAGAGAAGCCTGCAGGCCCTGCTATAGAGGTGTTGCAAAACCTGCATGCAGAAACCAGATCAAGTAACTCAAAATATGGTTTATCATAAGGAAAATGGTTAGAAGTCAATTCAAATCTGGCTCCATTTTTGTTAACTTAAAGACAAAACTAATGCTCCCCATGATCCATCAAATTGAAATTTCTGCATGACTGGTTTGACTTTTATAAGACCTGCAGCTAAAATCTTCCTTTATTTTATTTTGTTTTAACAAGAATAGAAACCTAAGAAAGATCATGGTACTTGGCTCACTAACAATATGCTAAGATATGTAAGAGCCATCATAAGAACTAGTAACAAGAAACAATTCCAAGCAATGCAATTTGCAATCAAATATACAACAAAGACAACAACGTCAAATCTAATGTTCTACTTCTAAAATCTTAAATCTGCAGTCTCAATTGGTTGTCCCTCAACAAGCAAAAATAAAATTAGAGATTACAAATAGATTATATTATGGCAAAGTTGAATAAGAAAGCACTATTGTCTCTTGGCATCAATTGTTGCTCCCCACCCAACATATCTAAATGGTTTATTCAAAAACCTCAATTCAAACCAAAAGGTGAAATAAATAATAAGGTGCACAACATAGAACTAGAAGAGCTTTGATAAAAAAGGCAATCATTTAATAAGCATTACAAGATTTGAAGATCACTGAGCCACCACATAAAATCACAAATCATATCTACATTGTTGTTGCTAAATTGCAAACCATACAAATGGCTAGCACTTGAGAAGGATAATGATTGCCAACACTACAATAAAGCTAATAGGGAAAGCCTACTTCTCATAGCTTCAGCTAAAGCTGCTTAATCATTTTAAGAATTAAAGGTTCAGCTTAATTGGATGAAAGCGAACACTGTTTGCAACTGAATCCGAATCAAAAGGACCCCAAATTGACACAGTAGTGAAATTGGTTAAAGAATGAACTCAGAAATCCACAAATTATAAAGATAAACCAAGAGGAAAATTGCACCACAAATATAATTTTTAGCGTCCAGCACAACTGAAGTATCACCCAACAGAAAGGCTACCAGTAGAGAAAAAGAAATTTCTACCACTAATATCAACCACCCCCTTTTATCCTCTTCTCAATTTCCATTACAGAGAAATTCATCAGGAATTAGAAAAATATAAAGAAGTATAGTTCAACTGCGAACAATTTGGTTCACAGAGCAGCTTTAGAGACAGTAACTAGCAGATTTGAACAACTCCCATTTATAAAACAAGTAAGAGGATACATAACACAACTGTTTACCTCCAAAACCAAGGTGATGAGAAGGCCACACCACCAATTGTCTATTTCAGCACAACTGTCTATTTTAACTAATTGTGAGGCACCATGACAGACCTCTCGCAACACCACCTAAACTATTTTAGCACCTTAAAACTCAAGTTACACCAATAGAACATTGTTTTTTTTTTCTTTTATACCATTCTAGAGCTAAGCATGATTTCATACCCTACCAAAATGGTAAATTACAGCCTTAAAACAGAAAAAGAATCACAAGCCAGGGAAATGAAGTAGACATTGACAGGACAATATATCATGGTAACACCCCCAGCTTAATGAAGGAATACTAAAAGGACAATTTTTTAAAGTACCTTCTGAAAGACAACCCCAGCTTTGATTGTGCAAGGAGAGCAATGAAGTGAACAAAGCAGATGCTGTAGCACTGTGCAATGGCACCAAAGACAGCATGCCACCCAATTCCACAGGAAGCCTATACAAGTCGAGCTAACAATCATTTCCACAACAAATAACAAAACTGGGAACCAAAAAAACGAGGAAAAGCAAACAAACGAAAATGGGTATTCATTAAGATAGATCAAAAGTCAAAACCAATACTCCATTCAATTGCTGTAAGTAAGCGTACGCAAACCTGGAAGAGGTGAGCTTGCGGAGAGCAAATCGAGAAGCAGCGGTTGGCTTAGGAGGAGTGATACCGGCCAGCTTGGAAGCTGGTGAAGTGAGCGAAGATGAACACGAAGACGGTGAACGGAAAATGGCCTCTGCAGAGGCACCGAAGAACCGTAGAGTTCGTCTTCCACAACCAGCCGCCATTTTTCTACTTCTCCCCCAAAACCCTCCGCCTCATTCCCTTGAACCCCAAAGAAGAAAGGATTGACTATAGGATCGATTATGGGCTGGGTCTGTGAATAACGCAGAACTTTCAGGCCTAGTGGTAGTATCATCAACATTTTATAGTCCAGATCAACCTGAGCCCAATCACTACGGAGGCTCAGTATGCCAGTTCGGGTTTCATTAATTTGGAGGCCGTTGAAATATATTTTTAATGCTATAATTATAAATATATAATATATTATAAATAAATTTTTAAATAAAAAATTAATTATATAAAAATATATTATATTATAAATTTATTACTTTGTAATATTGTAGTTATAGCGTTTTCAATGTTTAATAGACATGACTTTTTTTAGTACAATTACACTTAGACTCTTGTTTGAAAATTGAAAATATATTTTCTAGTTTAGTGCGTAGCTCGGGGAATAAAAGTGTCATGTACTTTTATTGAATTTTTTTTTTGTATATTAATTCATTAATAATAATAATTTAATAATTCATAACCACATTATCAATAATTCGAATAATTCAGTGATAATTACTTTTCGTTAAAAATGAAAGATATTGAATTCAAATAATATAATATACAGGTAGGGTATAATAAAGAATAAAAAAGAATTGATTCTCATTATATAATTAAAAAATATATATATACATATTTCATAACCACATTGTAAAAAAAATATGGATTCTTCGAAATTTTGACTTTGTTTCGGATTGGGAGTGTTCTGTTGTGATGGAATGTGCTATGATTCTTTTTTCTTTTTTCTTTTTTCTTTTTTTTTGTCTTTTCTATTAAAAATATATAAAATTTTAATTAAATTTAATTATTTGTAATAAATTTATATTTTAAAATACAACCTAGAAGGAAAAAATGGTTGTATAAAGCATTTTCAAACGGAATCTTTGTGTGGCACCTTCTAGGTTGACTTAAAAAAAAAAAAGGCTAGTGCTTTTGGTTATACCAAGGGCAAACTATTCAAAACTAAAGAAAACAAGTATTTTACCAATTGAAGTATAAGTGAAAGTACATTACTAGATTATTACGCTTGTTTGACATATTTCATAATCCATTACAATGAATTTCAACAAAAATTATTTGCAAACACCCATCAATTCTTCCTTTCAAGTCACGATCATAAATCATAATCAAACAAAGGAAAAAAAAACAAACACATACTATTCAACCACACAAGCACGTTTGTATGGCAATCACATGTGAAAATGTCAGTTTCCCATATTTCACCTCTTATGTGTCGCAAGTGAATTATTAAAATGTGTCAAGACAGGTACACAACATTAGTGTGAATGAAAAGTAACATTGAATGAAACGTGGATTATTTTGAAGCACAAGACAGTATATATGGCATTGATTAATGTTATTGACTTTACGTGCACACAGGCCTTGAGGCAGAGGGAAGCAGATTTCTTTGAAAAAATGGTCACTTCCCACATATCCCCTGCTGTACCCACGACCTGTGCACTGTTATACCACATTAAGTTACTAGACATTGTGGGCTGGCCCTGGAAAACATGCATTTTTCAGGCACACTTCACATACATTTAGACTAGTCAAGTTCTTTTAAATTGTATCTGTAAAAAATCAAAATAATAATAAAAAAAAGCCCATGATTTGAATTTCAATAATACTAAATCGTTATTTTTTAACATACCATATAAGTTGGGCGAGTTGTTGGACTTCAGATAGTAGGCATTGCAATTAATTGATTCTTTGATTGAAGAAAGACCCCAACTACTTAGAAATTTCTAAAAAACCCATGGTTGGGAGAGCTGCAGACCCTCCATCCTCTTTAATGAGACACTGCATGGTAGCTCCATCACAATCTCCAAAGGTGTACAACATCAAACAGAAAAATTGCAGTATCTGCATCAATCCAATTCAATGCCAAACTAATAATCAACAACCTTTTCTTACAACAAGTCATTGAATTTTGTCTTGAGATTGTTTTCTGTGTCATTAAGCCAGGTAACGGGCCATGGCTAACTAACTAATGTTATTTATATGATGGGAAAGGAGACGAAGACTGAAGAGCTACCAAATTTATGGCTATTGTCTGGGTCTCATCTTGTCGACAGAGTTAGTTGGCAGACCAGGAAATCTCAGTAGCTTCTTCTTCCTTCATTGCAAATAAAAACACACAAGGAAAGGAAGAAAGAAGACGAACTTCTAGCTGGTTTGGACTTTAGAGGAAAATGGAAAATTGTTGGGACTTGAGTTAAGAGCACATCTAAGAAGGTACAGCGTCTATTTCCTAAGTCAACGTTAACGGTTTTTTTTTTTTTTTTTGTTTTTTTCTCATGACTTTGGTTTACGCAAAAGCTACTCTCTTTAATTCATTTATTCACTCTACTAGTAAGTTTATGAATTCGAGCTTAAAAGTTTTTTTTTTATTGAAAAAAATTAACATGAAAATACTTAAGTTGTTGGTAAATTAATATTAATATTAATTAATTAATCATTTAGGTTATGAATTATTACGGCGTCTTGGTGCAATAAACAGATGGGAGGATGAAGAAATCTCTGTAAAAATTTTGGGATTAATTTAATTCAACCATCCATTGATCTCGAGAATTCATAGGCAAGGTAATGGCCCCAAGAACAGGCTGTCGAAATGGCCTACCTTAGCACACTCAATGGACCACCTCATCTTTTCCCTTGCTTCGGCGGACATATTATTATTATTATCATTATTATTATTATTATTATAAAAAAAAATAATGCTTTTAAATTTAGACCGAATAAGAGTTAGGAAAATATCAAAACACTTAAATTCAATAAAAATATTTTAATACTTTTACAATCATTATTATCGTCTAGATTAAAAAAAGAAAGAACATTTTTGTTATCAAAATGAATATATACTTTTTTGAGATAACTTGGTTAAGATTTTTTTATTTTTCAATCAAAATATTATAGAAGCATGAGCTAACGTGATACCTAATTTTTCACCTAACTTTATTTATTTTAAAAAAAATTATTGTTTTATACTTCCATGGTAAGAAGCATACATTTGGAATGCATTTCAGTTTGGTTGTTTCTTTCAAATTCATCCTTATTATCTGTCATACATGAGGGGGAATCTGGCTGCACAAAAAAGAAAAAAAGAAAAAAAAAAGAAAAAAAAGAAAAAAAAGAAAAAAAAAACCCAGCTCCCAGCCTTCCGTTTTCAATTTCTCCCGAACAAAATGGAAGAAAATATTTTTGCTCAATCATTCCATTTCTCTTTTTCCTCTTTGATATTGACAATCACGAAAATCCTAGCTATATGGTACCTTTTTTTCAATTCGGATGGTCAAGAATGTTTTCTAAATCAATCATGTCCATTTCCGAGACTCCATCTTGAATAATTGCTCGAATAATTTTTAAAATATACCTTTAATTCGAGACAAATTTAATGCTGGAAAAAATTCCTTGTGGACAGTCTACCATCAAACTAAGCGTGTGGGCCTTTGATCTAAATACAACAAGAGTTCCAAGCAAACAACACGGCAGAAAAAGAAAAACCATGAGCAACTCACGGGTTCTTCTAAGTTCTAATTATTGGACTAATGTATTCTTCCATTTGTCCCTCTTCCATAATAATCAGATCTGATTAACTTTTTGTTTTTATGTTGTAATTAAACCTTCATTTTGCTCATACTCTCCCAAATTTCATATATAATTTATATATATAGAAGAGATTTTAAATTTAAATTATAATAAAAATTTAGTACATACCCGTAAAGGTGGAAAAAAGTCGTGTACCCCACCATGACAGGAAAAATGGTTGAATCTGCACAATTTTGGTGATCAGTGAAAGTCAAGTCATGCAAATCAAATTCTTTCTTTCCTTAATCCTTTCATAAGTTTAAAAGATAAAGTCCAACTAAAAGTAAAAGAGAAAAGATGCATGTAATAGAATTAAACCGGACCCAAGCAAGCATCTCAGGAAAAGCCTGTATCGCACTTCTTAAAATTAAGCAGAAAGTTTAAAAAATAATAATAATAATAATAATAATAAGCAAGATTAAGACTTCTTAATCACCATTAACTTAGCTAATGGTCTTAACCCAAATCATTAATCAGCAATGGTCCAAGTCAAATCGTTCTCGAATATCCAGTGGCAAACCTCGATCCGACCCGGACCCGACCCTAGTGCCAAGAACGCTCCATGACCCGCGCTCCAAGCGGATGTATCCAAGTGACAGATGGCAACACCGTGGTTGATTTTCTCCTTGGTATTCGGATCCAGGATATCCGATTCGTAGACCCGAACCGAAGGAACCGAATGGCAGTAGTAGAGTAAATACGGGTACAAGCTCTGGTGACATGAGACTGATTTGGTGACTTTTCCACCGTTGATTCCCTTGATTGATCCGATCATGATGTTTTTTTTTGATCCATTCACGTTATCCGTCGTCCGGAGCGCCACGTTGCGGCCGAGAACCGAGGTGGAGAAGTCGATCATGTCCTCGGCCGACCCCACGCACCGCTTGGTCTCCCCAGCACTCGGCACTCGCTCGCACTCCTTGAGGGCATCCAGCATCATGCTTTCCAAGGAGGAGTTGTCGGCGGCGTGGAAGATTTGCTTCAGTTCGGCGATCTTGGAGGTGGAAAATGGTAATTTTGAGATGATCGTCCGGGGCAAAAACGCCCTTTTGGGCATTTTATCTCTAATGTCCGGCATGGGCATTACTGTTCCTTTCTTCAGCATTGATTCCCGGAAGAATTTGCCCGGTTCCACCCATCTATTTACGGAACTGCCACTCCTGACGGCGGTGGCCATTTGACCGGTTTTAGCAGCGCTCCCATTGTTGTACCTGGCAAAGGTGACGCCTTTCTTGGCGTATTCTTTGAAAGTTGGCGTTCTCTCGTAGACCTTGAAATCAATGGAGTTCCCCTTCGCAGCCTCGCCGTAGCCGGTGAACTTAGTCGAACCTTCATTAAAAGAATCACCATAGTTGTTGAATTTAACCTTGGCGGAGTTTGAATTCTTGGCATATGATTGGAAAGAATCATCACCCACATTGGATTGGTCTCTGTAATTCGAGAAGCTATCGACGGCAGCATTGCCTCCAGTTCCATAGGTTCTGAAATTATTCTGAGGAACATTGCCGTCAGACCCATAAGAAATGAAGGTATCATTGGCCCCATTCGCCGTCTCACCGTAATTGTTGAAAGTCGACCCAACCACATTGGATCCCACACCGTAATTCTTGAACTCATTCGGAAGCCCGTTTCCCTTTTTCCCATAACTCATGAAAGTCTGGCCGTTCCCGGCGTTGGCGTTCTCCGTGTAAGCGGAAAACTTCTGGCCGTGGCCATTGGCGTCATCGGAATAAGAAGTGAATCTGAGATTTGGGTTGTTCACTTCTTTATTGTAGTTGGTGAAATCACCGGAGCCACCAGTTGCGCCGGCGGCGTAGGTGTTGAAGCTCTGGTCCACAACGTTGCTCTCAGAGGCGTAATTGGAAAACCGCTCCTTATGACCCGCCGAGTCACGACTGTATCGGCGGAACGAGTCAACAATAACATTATCATTCTCTGAGTAGTTCTTGAACGAATTGGTCCCACCAATTCCACCCGTTCCGTAATTGGTGAAATTCTTGTCCAAATACACTGCAAAATTCGAGTCCTTATCATGCTTCTCCAGACTCGGTGCCAAATCAGGGAAGCAAAACAGTTCCGCCGCCGTACAGAAGGCGGGGAGGTGCGAAGATAGGGCATTCTGCGCCGCGAGTTTGGAGTATGTGGCGGAATCAACAGCGTTGAGTGGGGATGCCTTAGAGAGAAGAAAATGGGATTTGGGTATCTCGCTCCTGATTTCCTTATTCCAATATCGAATTAAAGACGCCTTTGGCGTGAATGGGTTCCCAGAAAGCGAGAAATCCCCGGATTTCTCTCCGGTGCCGGCATAACCCCCCTGCATTGTAAAAAAAAAAAAATCGAAAATAAATGAAAACCCATTAACCACCAAGTGAAAAGGAGCACAATTGAATATGAATCAGTACACGAAAAACGGTGAAGAAGAAGAAGAATTTGCTTACATTGATAGATGAAGAACAGAGGAAGAAGAGGAAGAGGGAGTTCCAAAGATTGAGCATTTTGTCTTCCTCCTTTTTTTTTTTTTTTTTTTAATTAATTTTTTTAATAGAGGGAGGGTTGCTGTTGTTTTGTTGGGTTCTGGTTCTGGTTCTGGTTCTGGTTCTGGAGGAGAGTGAAATTTATAGAGGCGAGGAGTGAGGAGGGGTTTAGGTTAAAAACGCTGTTTAAGTGATTAATGAAGTATCAGTGATTTAATTGCATATGTTTAATACCTACTAGTAATTCTAATTTCACAATTACTGCAGGATGAAATAAATAATTTAATAGTTATTTTTTTAATTAAAAATAAAAAATCATGAATTCGAATAAAATAAGATAAGAAATAAAAGATAATTTACTCACATTATGTAATTAAAATTAAAAAAAAAATCACAATTACTATCTAATTCTTTTTTTATTTTTATTTTTATTTTTGGATGTTTACCTAGGTTTTTTTTTTTTAATGGGAAATGAAATATGTGTTTATAATCTGCTAAACTGGATCTGGACAGAAGTTTTTCATGGACGGTCCAGCACTTTAGATTCTACTCGTCCATATGGAAAGTCTCAAATTTTATCTTAGAATAGATAAAGGTTCCTTTTTTTTCTTTTTCTTTTTTCTTTTTCTTTTTTTAATAAAGATATGTAATTCTTTACTATATAGTCAACCATTTTAACGAATAAAAGAAAAAAACAAAGAAAGAATATGAAAGCGTACTCCCCAAATGGATTATGTTGATTGCTAATATTTATATGGGTTTTTTTAATACGTGCTATACAGGGTGGAGGTTAGAATTATTATTTTTTAA